AAAAATTAATTCAAAAACCTTAAATAATCAACATTCAATCCGTAGCTACAGCCCTAGGACAAGGGCGTTAGCTACTAATGTCTAAGAAAATAAGAAGACCCTCAAAAGTATTGACAACTTTATACTTTAATACCCTGATCTTCACCTCTGCCTCCTCTAAATTGATTAATTATTTCTATGGACTATTAATAAATGTAGAAAATTCCAAATAAAATAACTGAGTCCAAAACAAATTAAAAATCCAAATCCAAGCGGAATAAGAATTCCTGTAGGCGTAAACAGTGCTCTGCCGAGTTTCCTGCCCATCGTCGTTCTTCATATGATGCCACGTGGAATTTTCAATTCCAATTCCAATTCTACTTCCACCAAAAATATATATTATTTTATAAAGTTTAATACATTAAGCTGTCTGCTTAATTTTCTTTTTTAATCTTCCATCATTAATTCGTTTTAGCTTCAAACTTTTTCAACTTTACACCAATTTACTCCTACAAATAAATTACATTATTTAGCACAATCCATAAAATTAATGCTCAAAAAGGACAGTTATAAATAATAAATGTGAGACAAATAATAATTAAAAATATGTATTTTTAGCTTTGCATCAGTAATCATTCTATATGCTACACTAAATATTAAAAATCTGAAAATGTCAAGTCAAAAAGTTGAAAGACAAAATATTCATAAAAAAATATTAGTCATTTCCACCCTTTTAAAGACTAAAATAGTTCCATTTTTAAAATATTTTTCTTTATACTAAAAAGTAAATTATTTTATTATGAAACCATTGAGTTAAATCAATATATAAAGACCATAATGCCCACAAAAGATTGAATGATTATTTTAATCTCTAAATGTAAATTATTCCTTCATTTTATTAAAGGAATGCTGATCGAAAAGATGGAAGATCTTGCAATGTTTCATCGATAATAATTTAGACAAGCTACTTGGTGCAACTTTAATTGCTTCTATTATTTTGAATAAAAATTGGAGTCATTGAATTCTTTCTTTTCATTGTGATAAGGAATAATATATTCATCTTCATAACTTACACTATCTAATTACCCTATTTTTATCCATATAAATTCATCTTTATTTGTTTCATGAGTACCCTAACTAAGGTTATTCTTTTCATTCTATAGTTTAAATAGTATACCGCTTATACCATTATTGTTCTATTTGATTCATACTTTAACTAAATGAAGAAGACTTTTGAATTATAATTGCTTATGGGAGAAGTGTCAGCAAAAACTCAAAAAATTAAAATATATAGTGATTTTGTATTTCTTTTTTCATATACATATTGTTATGATTAAAGTCTTAAAAAGGATGTATATGTTGTTGCATGTTTTTTTCTGTGTTTATATTTTTGTATGTGTTGTCTCACAATTAAACTTCTTTAATTTTATTTTCTATATATTTCTTATTGTTCTAAGTGTATTTTTATTTAGGCTAAAATTAATCTTTTGTGACTATATATAATGCAAATTAGCTAATTACTATCTAAAGTTCTAAATTTACAGTTTGTTGATAAATTTTAAAAATTAAAATAAGATTCCTCATTTGATGCTTCTTGTCACAATTTTAAAATTTTATTTGTAATTGTTGCATTTTATTATTCGTTACATGCATGTACATGTAGTTGTTCTAATGAATATATAAAAATTAACATGGGACACACGTGCAACACATGTGTCCCAAAACTAGTATAAAATAGGAGACGAAAAAACACCACATGTCAGCGCCACAAATTTTTATAATTTTAAATAATTAATTATTATATAAATATTATCTATCTATAAATTAAAAAAAAATAAAAAAAATAGACACATGTCATCAACTTACACAATTACTGACAAATGTCAGTATTTCTAAAAACAAATTTAACTTTTATTTAAATACAGTTTATAAATTAGTAAAAATTTGATTTTTTTTTAGTATACAATAGATTCAATAATTTTTAAAAAATACATTTAAAAAAAAAAAAAACTACAGTTCCATATGTCCTCAAAAACTTTTAAATTATATCGCTAAAGTTTTCTAATTATCTTTTATTAAAAGAATAACAATTTTAAAAAGGAAAAAAAACATACGGAAATTAACATTAATTTAAAAAGGGGGGAAATAGTGCCACTTTAATTATATCTCTAAAATTTTCTAATTATCTTTTATTAAAAGAATAGTATTGATTTATTTTATCTTTTATTATTTAAATAGTATTGCTTTATATTTTTATAAAAAGTAGAAAAGACTTAATAAAATTAAAAAAACATTGTCCATCCGCCATTTTAAACAAAAAAAAAAAAATACCAAAACCGTCCATGAATTAAAAAAAAACTGTTAAATGAAGAAAAATAATAAATAATTTAAAAACATTATCCATAAGCAATTTTAAATAAATAAATAGCAAAATTATCCACTAATTAACAAGAAACAGTTAAATGAAGATATACTTCAATATTTTTTTTAAAAATGATTTTAAATGTATTTTTTTTTCAAATTATATAAACAACACACGTAATATTAATTTAAAATAGTTATTTTTTAAATTTGAATTTAAAATGGTTACCTAAAACTGCTCCATCTATTATCTTTATTCTCTCTCTTGCTATATATATATATATATATATATATATATATATAACTAAATTCAATTAAACAATTAATGGATCTATTCTTCTTCAAATGTGGAAAGTTATTTGTTGAATTATTTTTATTTTTCTTATCTTCATCTTCTTTTGGGGAGAATTATTTGTGGAAGTCAAGAAGAAGAACAATATTTATCAAAGTGAAATCCTCTCTATGCATCTTAGGAAGCATTATTGACTGACATTCTACTGATAGACAATGAGTTCGTATTGAGAACATGACCATTCTCATGAAAATTGTCTTTTTTTCTTTTGCAATTTACATCAATGGAGGTGTAGTTTTGCTCCACAATTAGGAGATAAAAAAAATTGTGTACATTATTATTTATTTGTGTATAGATATTTTACCACTTCGAAATTGCGGTAATCTAATTTAATTTTGAAATTTACGTAAAAATAAAATCAGTTTCAAAGAGATTTGTTTATGCATAATTATTTATTTTAATTATTATGAATTTTACAAATCCCTTTAAATTTTTGCTATAATGAATATATTAATGAAAAAGAAAAGTTTCATAACTTCCCATTACCCATCCACTGTTGCACAATACTATAAATAACTGTGTTAATAACATTTTAATTTATCCATAGTCATCTTAAATCAAATATATATTTTTCATTTTTTACAACGTGGTATTTGTAGTGTTAATGAAGAGTATGAGTTGAAATATATTTTGTTATTATTATTTAAAATTTAAAATTTTAAAATTAATTCTCTACAAATAATCAATTAAAATTAACTTTATACAACCATTTTTAAAATAAAAAAATTGAAATTTGAAGTTTATTTAAATATAAAAAATTAAAATTTTAAAAAAATTGACTGATCTGTTTTAAAATTTTAAATATTAACGTGTTTTCTTTTCAAAAATTAAATTAAATTTTAATCATAATTAGAATTTAAATAGCAAGTTTTAAACTTCCCATTACATTCCCACTTGTACACAAATTCTAAAAAATGATTAATAAAAAATTAATAAATGTATCAAAATTACATTAAAAAAATTATTTGCAAACTCACTATATATGGTTACTACATAATAGTAAATCACGTTTTTTTTACTCCTTTTTAATAGCAATTATAAGGTCAATTTTGTCGTGATTAAATTATTTATTTTTTCTCTAATTGTTACAACTTACAATCCTATTAGTAATGAAATACCTTTTATTATCCGTTGAACTTTTAAACTATTTCAAGGGATATAAATCACAACCAATATATACAAATTATTTTGGAAAAATCCATTAATTTAAACAATTTATCAACAGTTGCATTGTAACATATTTTTTACATTCTAAATTAATTATGTAATGTGTAATTTTATTTAATGATTAATTACAATTTAAAATATTTATTGTAATTAACATGAAAGTGAAAGCAGTTTAACAATATATATATATACCAGGTAGTATATTAAATTGAAAACTAAAAATTTAAAAGTGACTTTTTGTTAAAGAATTACTTAAAATTAACATGATATAAACATTTTTAAAAATTTTAAATTTATATAAAGATAAAGATAAATAATTAAATATTTGAATGATTTATTTTAAAATTAAAAAAATATTTTTTAAAAATCTTTATTTAAATAAAACAGGAATATATTATAAATTGTGCATAAGTTATATCACATTTAATTTAAAAATTATGTTATTTAATCCGCGCAACGAGTGGGCACGAATACTAATTCTTTTAAAAGTACCAAATTTTTACATATATATATTTAAAAATACTGAATTTAGTTGAACCAAGCATTTACAAAAGTCTATTAATTTTCCAAGTATTATTTTCTGTTCATGTAACAATTAATTTGTAATTGTTGGGCACTTTCCTCCTCATTAAGGTTCAGGTCAAGTCTACATACCGTCACAGAATACATTGATCATGGGACCGGCTATTAATTATTGCTGGGCACTTTCCTCCTCATTCAGGTTCAGGTCAAGTCTTCCACTGAATGGGACCAGCAGTAAAATTCAAAAGTCCCTAATTAGGATGAGTCAAAAATAATTGGGACAGATAAAATGACGTAAATTGTTTAATTGGATAATACAGTTTAAAATCGAATATGTGAACTAGTTAGTGGTAAATAGCACTAATGGTCCAAATGTGTCACAATGGTGACGTAAATATGCACAACCTTTAACGAATATTGTATGTTATAGTCAAAGTTGGCTGCTGAAAATAGTGTTGGAAGTCAACAGAATGGAATAAATTAAATGTGATGCCTTTAAACTAAGCAAAGATTGAAAATGAGAACCTAGTTCATTTACAACTGATTTATGCCAAGTCTAAAGAGAGGCCATATCCCCAAAAAAGGCACAACAGAAAGAACTCATATATTTTAGAAAAAAATGTTTGTAGAAAAGAGACTGTATTTTCCTATCCTTCTCTTCATTTATCTCCTCTTATGTTCGTCTCGATTTGCTATATCGCAACCTTTACAGGACTACAACTTCACTCTTTTGAATTCTACTGCAGGGCTTGCCGGGATTTCCTCTTTCTGGATCAACATACCCTCCTCTATTGATGTTAATTCCACCGACGGCTTCTTTGGTTTGGTGACACCCATACTTCAGCGAAGAAATGCTGGCTCACGATTCCTCTGTGGCTTCTACTGCAATTTCTTTGTCACCGAATGCCTTCTTGGTATCCTTTTGTACCACATCAACTACAACGAGGAGAGCGATGTGATAAATAAACCCCAGTTAGTTTGGTCTGCTAACAGGAACCATCCAGTGAAAGTCAATGCAACCTTGCAACTAGGCCATGATGGCAACTTGGTCTTGACGGACTCTGATGGCACTCTTGTTTGGTCCACTAATACTACTGGAAAATCTGTTTCTGGCATAAACTTAACAGAAATGGGAAATCTTGTGCTCTTTGATAAGAGAAAGCGCGCAATTTGGCAGTCTTTTGATCATCCTACGGATTGTTTGCTTCCAGGGCAGAATTCTACTGCCGGGCTTTCCTCTTTCTGGATCAACAGGCCCTCTCTTTTTACTAATTCCACTGCCGACTTATTTGGTAAGGCGACACCCATACTTCAGCGGGGAAATGCTGGCCCACGATTCCTCTGTGGCTTCTTCTGCAGGTACCATGCCAATGAATGCCTTCTTGGTATCGTTTTGTACCCCAACAAATACAACGAGGACGGTGTTATAGATAAAGTCCAGTTAGTTTGGTCTGCTAACAGGAACCATCCAGTGAAATTCAATGCAACCTTGCAACTAGGCCATGATGGCAACTTGGTCTTGACGGATTTTGATGGCACTCTTGTTTGGTCCACTGATACAATTGGGAAATCTGTTTCTGGCTTAAACTTGACAGAAATGGGAAATCTTGTTCTCTTTGATAAGAGAAATCGCACAATTTGGCAGTCTTTTGATCATCCTACAGACTCTTTGCTTCCAGGGCAGAATTTGGTTTCCAGGCAGAAGCTCATAGCAAGCGTTTCAGCAACCAATCGGAGTCAAGGTTTGTTTTCTCTTACTGTTCTCAATGGAAGCTGGGCTGCTTACACAGATACAGTTCCACCTCAATACTACTACACTTCATATTTTGAAGATAGTCCTTATTACAGTTTTGATGGTCAAACCTTTACTGCTTCACACAATCCTACTAACTCGACAGTTCAATTCATGAAGATTGGGCCTGATGGACATTTAAAGGTATACCAATGGTCTGTAGTTGATTGGAATGAAGTATCTGACATTTTGTCGCCATATGTAGATAACTGTGGGTACCCAATGGTATGTGGAAGTTATAGCATTTGTACAAATAACGGGCAATGTACTTGTCCGCTACAGGAGAACTTCTTCAGGCCATTTTCAGAGAGGAAACCAGATCTTGGATGTTCACAGTTAACTTCCATTTACTGTAACTCTTCGCAGTATCATAGTTTCGTAGAGCTCAAGAATACCACATATTTTTCATTTAATATTGATCAGGAACTAAATCCGAGCAGATTATGGCTTGGGCAGACAAAGTTGGAAGATTGCAAAAGGGCCTGTCTGAGTAACTGTTCTTGCAAAGCTGCTGTTTTTGAATATGATTGGAATGGGACTCGCAGAGGGAACTGTTTGTTACTGAATGAAGTTTTCTCTCTCAAAGACAGCGAAGAAGGAAGAGGCAATACAGTATTTCTTAAGGTGCAGAATTCCTCCAAGCCGCAGAGTCAGTCTCTAATCATTCCTGGAGGAAAGAAATCAAGACCTTTCAAAGTGATAATAGGATCTACTCTTGCAGCTTTCTTTGGGATAATTTTAAGCATAGCTACTTGCTTTGTTATTTTCAGAAACAGGACACGTGAGTCCAGAAAGGCTGCGGATATTTTGGATCTAGCACCAATCTTACCGGGAATCCTAACTCGATTCTCTTACAATGAGCTGAAAATAACTACAGATGATTTCAGTATAAAGCTCGGGGAAGGAGGATTTGGCTGTGTTTATGAAGGAACACTGAGAAATGGAACTAAAATAGCTGTGAAGAATCTGGATGGTGTAGGTCAAGTAAAGGAATCATTCTTAACAGAAGTAAAGGCAGTCGGTGGCATTCACCATATCAATCTGGTAAAACTCATTGGATTTTGTGCCGAAAAAAGCCACAGGCTTCTAATCTATGAGTACATGGTGAATGGATCGCTGGATGGGTGGATTACGCATGAAAATCAAGAAAATGGGCTTACATGGAACACAAGGCAGAGGATAATATCAGACATTGCCAAAGGGTTAGCATATCTACATGAGGATTGCAGCCATAAGATAATTCATTTGGACATCAAACCACAAAACATCCTTCTGGATCAATATCTCAATGCTAAGATATCAGATTTTGGGTTGTCAAAGCTAATTGAGAAAGATAAAAGCAAAGTTGTGACTAGAATGAGAGGAACACGGGGTTATTTAGCCCCTGAATGGTTGAGCTCGGTAATCACTGAGAAAGTTGATGTTTATGCTTTTGGAATTGTCCTCTTGGAAATTCTCTGTGGGCGAAAAAATTTGGATTGGTCCCAAGCTGATGAAGAAGATGTACATTTGCTAAGTGTCTTTAGGCGAAAAGCGGAACAAGAGAAGCTCATCGATATGGTTGACAAAAATGAGGATATGCAGCTCCACAGGGAAGCAGTGACAGAAATGATGAGCCTTGCTGCATGGTGTCTACAGGGAGATTTTTCCAAGAGGCCTTCCATGTCATTGGTGGTTAAGGCATTGGAAGGTTTGGTGACTGTTGAAACCAACTTGAATTATGATTTCACACATGTACCTGAGGTTGGGGCAGGCAACCAAGAGAGGGAAGTCATTATCAGTTCAAAATTTCCTTCAATTTTATCGGGACCAAGGTAAACAATATGCTTAAGATTTTGTCTTTGAAGGAACCAACAAATGGTTGCGTAATGTCAAATATCACAACATTTTCAATTCTAGCATAACTTTTTTACAGTGTATGAGATTATAATTCATGAAATGTAATGTTCAGTAACTTCTATATTAAATTTTTGAGCTTCATGTAGAGGCTTCTCAATTCATGTGTGAAAATAAGTAATAATATTGTACGTGGTGGTGCAGCTACTGAATTCAAATGGTAGTATGCTGTAAGCTTTATTGTGTAATGCTATCGGAAAAGGCCATTTTCTTGTTTTTTCATGAGATATCCAATGATCCATTTCCCATGTAAGGCTGTGTATTATATATGATAATATAATTTGGTTAGTTTGGGTTTCTCTTTATCCAAGCTTAGCACATTCAATTTTCCAAAAGCTTCCGTGCTGTCATTTCTGTTGAGTTTTAAGTTGTAACACTCTTTCCAGCAATCATTTTCCAAATCCACATTTTAATTGTAAGTTTTTACCACTGAACTCATTATATTTTAGAAATTATGGGAAGTCTATTAAGTAGTTAAAAGTTTACACAAACCAGATGAACTATTCTTGGATCTTAACCACCTTTAATTCATCTTATGTTAACCAATTTTTTTAAAAGAGATCAGATCCCAAGTACTGTTACAAATTGCTACTAACAATTAATTTGCAATCATTGGGCACTTTCCTCCTCATTTAGATGTGCCATAAATTCCAAAGTCCAAGTCAATTGTTGTTCCTCTCTACACAATATCTTAACCTTTGCCCAGTCAATACACAGGGGCCTCAAAAAAACTTTTTCAATGTGCTTTTCCAAATTTTAATTGACTATTCAGTATGAAGGAAAATGTTTTTTAGAAAAATAATGGGGCCGGGTTATATCTTTCCACTAATCGAACCATTTTGACCATTTCCAAGTTACAATTTCGCTATCGTTCAACCTTGCAGGCAAATCAAGGTCACTGGGACTTTCATTTACACGTCTTACGTGGTATCCTACATGGTAATTTGTGTTCTATGTGGTGTTCACTGGATGGTTCCTGTTAGCAGACCAAACTAACTGGGGAACACTCGTAACCCTGTCGGATCTGTTGTGATACAAAAGGATACCAAGAAGGCATTCTGTGGTACTGTTAGTTATAAGGAGGGAAATAGAAGGCAAAGAGAAACTGAGGGCTATCCTTTCTGCTCCGAATAATAGGCGTCATTTCAGAAGGCTCAGAGGTATTGTAAACTCTAACATATGGCATATTGATCCAAGAATTGGAACGTCCAGTAGTAGAATTCAGAAAACTGACATTATAGTTCCAGAAAGGTTGCGAGAAAGCAAACCGGGATGAAAAAAAGTGGAGACAAATGAAGAGAAGGATAGGAAGATACACTCTCTGCTCTGCAATCATATCTTTGTTAGAAAATTATATGGTATTTGGAGTAGTTAGGTAATGATACTCCCTCTGTTATTATGCCTTTTTTTGGGATATGACCTTCTTGTTGTGAACAGTTGAATGAGAAAAACATACCTAGTCTATATTTCTAATATTTGCTGAGTGGTTAGGCAGAAAGGAATCACCAGTTGAAGTCCCTGATTCAAATAGGAAAGTTGAAGGTGTCATTAGCAAACCCAACATTTGTTTTTTGGTCAATATGGGGAGGGGCCTCACAGAATTTTTTTTTAATATGTTTTATCTTCTTAACTTTTGTTGACTTATGCACTCTTCCACTAGCTGACTTGTTCAGCACAGAAATGGAAGAAAAAAAACTGAATTTAGAAACGAGCGGTATCAATTTAGTTGCTGCCACAAATTGAGAAATACGAAACTAATGGAATTATGAGGATTTTCGACTTGAATGATTTGTCAACCCTCTTGATAATTGAAAGCCAACTTCATGCTGCTTTCAAATTTTTGTAAAATAAAATGAGAAATCATTGTATGTTATAGTCAAAGTTGGCTGCTGAAAATAGTGTTGGAAGTCAACAGACTGAAAGAAAGTAAATGTGATGCCTTTCTACTAAGCAAAGATTGCAAAAGAGAACCAAGGTAATTTAAAACTGATTTATGCTAAGTCTAAAGAATTCATATATTGAAGACAACAATGTTTGCAGAAAAGAGACTGTATTTTATTCTCTTCATTTACCTTCTCTTTTGTTCGTCTGGACTTGCTATTTCACAATCTTTACAGGTTTACATGGAACACAAGGCAGAGGATAATATCAGATATCGCCAAAGGGTTAGCGTATCTACGTGAGGATTGCAGCCATAAGATAATTCATTTGGACATCAAACCACAAAACATCCTTCTGGATCAATATCTCAATGCTAGGATATCAGATTTTGGGTTGTCGAAGCTAATTGAGAAAGACAAGAGCAAAGTTGTGACTAGAATGAGAGGAACACGGGGTTATTTAGCCCCTGAATGGTTGAGCTCGGTAATCACTGAGAAAGTTGATGTTTATGCTTTTGGAATTGTCCTCCTGGAAATTCTCTGTGGGCGAAAGAATTTGGATTGGTCTCAACGTGATGAAGAAGATTTCCATTTGCTAAGTGTCTTTAGGAGAAAAGCGGAACAAGAGCAGCTCATGGATATGGTTGACAAAAATGAGGATATGCAGCTCCATAGGGAAGCAGTGACAGAAATGACGAGCCTTGCTGCATGGTGTCTACAGGGCAATTTTTCCTACAGGCCTTCCATGTCATTGGTGGTTAAGGCATTGGAAGGATTGGTGACTGTTGAAATCAAATGTACCCGAGGTTGGAGGAGGCAACCAATAGAGGGAAGTCATTATCAGTTCAAAATTCCCTTCAAT